CCCTGAGCAACCTGTTCTAGTTGACCCTGTTTTAAGCAGAGTTGGACAAGATGATTTCCAGAGGTCCTTTCCAACCTCAGTAATTTTGTGTGTGCATGCATGTGTGTATGTGCATGTGCACAAATGCACATGAACTTAACTGTCACGAAGTTATTATAAAAATGAAGAATGAAAGCCGAGCGACTGAGGGAAGACACACAATGTTTGGTAACCAAAAAGTTCTCTAAAATAATAATTTGATCTTTAGTGACTATTTTGACAAGTTATTTTGTTATTATTAGACTCAAATATACCTTTACATCTCTTCACGCACAACATTAAGAATACTAAGAAATTCAATAATCTGAATGATTACTTTGGCATTATTTAAGAGTAGGTAAAAATATTTAGAATCATCCTGTCTGGCTTATAGAAAAGTCATTTTTTCCCAGTTATTCTTATTTTGAACTTTTGGAAGTTTTTAAGGTTTTACCAACACAGTGGTAGAAGGTTTACCAACATAGTGGCCAAAAAGCACAAGATATATGAAACATCCAGTATCTCTTTTCCTTAGTAACTACCACTTCTTAGTTCCAGAGAACTTCGTACTATATGGGTTGAACTGGGGGACAGTTGTATTGGGCAATTCATTTGGGATGTATATGTGCTATACTCCTATGTCAAGAGTGCCTCCAAATCAGCCGTATCTCTTGATAGTCTTGACTCAAACTTTTTGTGAATATTAAAATCTTCAAAAATACGATCTAAAATGGCCCTCTAACTTTCAAGCAATAAAACCCTGTGTACTCAATGTTATCCCAAGGGTAAACCAATTTAGTTTAAAAGCTCAAGTTCAAGAGGTAAAAGCTGTGTCTACACATAAGATTTTGCCAGCATAAGTATCTGCAAATTTCTTAGATCTGCTAGGCTATCTTCCTAGATTAGCTAGATTGTCTACATCAGCTTTCAGAAATACTTTGTGCTAGTTTCCCTGTCTCCCTCTCCCCCGCTATAAATCATCCTGACAAAAATTTTAATACTGGTATAACTACACACACAAGAGTTCCTGCTAGTATGATTTCTGTGGACATGTGGGACACAATTTTCCCAAAGCAGTGCCGAAAATATACTTTTACTTTGGAAGCTAAAATCTGCTGTTTCAATTTCTGGATTTTTTAAAATACACCTGCCCACTTCCTTGCTTAATATGGAAAAAGTTTGAAATAAAGATACTTTAAAAATTGTTGCATACTGTGCTATTTAGCTGGGACCACTTAAAAAAACACAAGCCAAAAAACTCTTGAGAGAGACTCTCGAAGTGTACTTCAAAGATCTGTGGATCAGTATGGATCAGTTTACCACTGGCACATAACTTCATAGTGCAGTGTTTTCTCCTTTCCCATTGAAGGATCGAGGACAGGAGACAGTGGGTACCTTCCACAAGAGTATAAGCACTGACGGACTGAAAACAACTGGGATTTTAATAGACGTACTGGCATCTGCTTACAGTCCCAATTGGGTTGAAAGGGATGAGCCACTGTTCCAGCAGATCTGCCTCTGAAAGCATAGGTTTACAACATACAGACTCCTTTGCCCAGTAAGTGCTATAGCACAACTTTCTCCAGGCAATCACTGGAGGAAGAGGAGCATGTGAAAAAGGAAAGAATAGAGGGGAAGGGGTTTGTAGCTATATATCCTATCTTTACTTCCCTTAGATGTATTGGGTATTGAAGTTTCACAGTCTGTACTGCAGAGTAAGAAGCTGTAATCCTAAAAAGGATATTGGAATAAATTAAAAAAAAAAAAAAAAAAAAGACTTCAAGAGGTAATCCACTCATGCTATTCCTGGAATTACTCACTATCTAGCTTAGTATTCCATACAACACTAAAAGATTTCAAGTGGTAGATGAGGAAGACTTACTTTAAATCAGCTGAGAATGTAACAAAACCAAACCAACTAACTCATATAAAAGGTGCAATTGTTTTGCCATCACCTAAAGCTTTTTCTAGTCATCAAAAGTAATCTGCATAAAATCTCACACACTCAATTTTCTCCTTTCTTAATCTTATATTCTAAATTCAGTTGCAGTGCTGAACCAGGCAGCCATTCCAATAGCAACAGACTGATTGCAAACTCAGGTTTATGACTTGCCTTCAAGTTAAAATAGAACAGCTAGAAGAGGGAAGATGTTTTATTGCACATGTGAAAGTAATGTGAAACCTATTTTTTATTTATGTATTATAAGCATCACACAGCTTATCTGCATTGTAAGTGATCGTCTGTGTACTGTTATCAAGACTAGTTCACAGCACTCCTGAGGTTTGAGGATCAATAAGATTGACTTCACTACACTTGAGTATCTCATAGAATCAAGTATCTTTAACTAATATTTTCAATACAAAGGGATAGTAAATATAATAACTTTTTTAGTGATCCTAAAACAGAAGGCAACTGCTGCACAGAAACAAGCTTCTGAGTTCACCTTATTCACTGAATTAAGATGTAGTTTATAAAATACTCTAGACTAAAATCCCATCCTGTGTTTAATAAATGCAGCAGGCTATGGCTCCAACTATCTTCTACAGAGAAATTGTAATACTGTTACAGCTTGTAGGTAAAGTTAAGCACACAAGGACAAAGCGTACACTCCTTGTTTTTAAGAGCTAACATTGTCAAAGATGTGGTGACTTATTCCAAAGAAGTCTTTCATATTTTTCTTCAGCCCTGCATGGATGTTTTCATGCCTTTTTTGTTAACTTCATTATAGCAGTTTGTGCCAGTTCTGACAAACGCCTAGCGAAATCACGATGCAGGAATCTTATTGAGGAAAGCAGTTGTCTAATAGAGTTTTTAAAGCTCATCCTTCCATGCGCAAACACCAGGGTCTGAATCATTAAGATGACCTGAATAAATTTTATCAAGGCGGAAATGTAAATCTTCAGGGGTTACCTTTTGCTTTTAATATTTACCATGTTCAAAAGTGCTAATGAAGACTAAACTGGAACAAAGGAGTGGCAGAAGACAAAGGGAACATTAGGAGGTAAAGCGTTGGACACTGTCTGTGGAAGCCAGGGAGAAATTACTACAGGTAACAGCCTCAATACTCTTTTCCTTGTTCCTCTCACTTGAGGCATTCTGAAGTTCATCAAGGCTGTATTTTGCACACAGACATTGACCAGCTGCAGTAAAAGAGCTGTGTGTTGTAGTCACAGAAGTCACAGGATAGCTCAAAACTATTTAATTCTTTCAGTCTTACTCAATGACACTTGAGTGAATTTTCACTATTCCCCTCCCTGGTTTCAGGAAGGTGGGAGGGTTTCTAATCACAAGCCTCTTCACATAACAAAGCTAGAAACATGGTAAAGAAGTGATACCGCTGAAATAATGCTCAGTGTCTTCAGAGCCTTGAAAATTCTTTCAAAAAGTGAGTCCTGTTAAAAGGCTTGAAATGCAACCAAGCCTTGTCAGTATACTTAAGCAATTACACTGACAAAGCAAATTACTAACAAAGTTACTATTTTGGAGAGGAATGTGATTTTCAAATAGAAAGCTTTAATGACATAGTATACTAGATACTTATATTAGCACAAGCCTGATACAAGATATGTCAGCTACCCTGACGAAAGGAAGTATGCCAACAGAAATGTTCTTACACTGGGCCAAACGGAAGGTAGAGGATGATCTGGTTTTATTAGTAGATATAACAGCTTCTAGTAGTTACACAAAACTTAAGATGACCTAAAAGCTAACATATGCTGCAAACAATCCTAATTTTAGAAGTCCTGTTATCTTATTATAAAGTTTATAGATATCACAGCAGTAAACAAACCTACCTTAGTCAAAAACCACTTGGATTTCCAGCTTCACATACCAAAACATTAAACCATCAATCAAATAGTCAGAATAATTGGAACATCCACATTTTTGTTAATTTGTGTTAAACCTCTACTCCTTTACACAACGTGTCCATGAAATGCTTCTGCACTCCCTCAGGAACATGTGTGTGCATACTAAAGACCAATTCCAGGGGGGCAAGGCTTTCTCAACCTCTGCTCCTGTTGCAATGTGGTTAGTTTTCACCCTAATTCAACAGAACCCAGCATTTGTTCAGTCAGTTCTCAGACATTTGTACACGCACACAGTTGGGATATGCATAATAGAAAGTGGACACATTGAAGTACTTAACAGGAAGCCGAGGAGGAGAAGAAAAAAGGAGAGTAGTCAGGCAGAAAAAAGGAAAACAACCATTGCCTCCACCCCACAAACTCGGTTCCTGTGTTGACAGAGCCTCCTGTATCTTTGTGTTGTAGCAGACAAGTAGTATACCTGTACATAGCACCATGACAGGCAATTACTTTGTAGTAATGAATCTCAAATTCAAGCTATTTACTGAAATAATTCCCTGCTTGGCATCCATTGCCTAATCAGCTTCCACTTAGATGAGATTAACACCTTCCTTAACACCTTTTATCTACTATCACTATAGTGATAAGCTAGATGCTTAAAATTGTAAATTCTTTATTCCTGCAAATTAGTTGGTGCTTAATAGCAAAGTCAGATATTTCTCAGTAGTTGCAAAATAGCAGTAGTTTAAAATACCAAATTTAACACTTTTACGTTTATCAGGTGACTCTTCTATTGAAAGTTTTAGCAGTACCCAAATGACCTTTCTTCTGAAATTGTGTGTATTATATCCTCCCCATCCCTCCACAGTAGTTATAAATGTATTAACCTTTGAATTATGTCCATCACTGACCAGTAAAAATATATAACCACAAATCATTACACACCTTAAAAAAAATTACAAAACATACCTGACTTAGTAGCTGTCCATGAAAAATGTTGTTAACCACATTCAAAACCTGTTTTATAAGTTTTCTTTGAGAAGCAGGGATGAGAGCTGGGTATCTGGTCCCTGTAGTCTCCAGTTCCTGCTGCACTTTATCCAAAAGTTCACAGAGAAATTCCTGAGCATCTTGTTGGGCATATCCTCTGAAGGCTGGAATTAGTCTCCACACAGAATGAAGCATGGCAAAAGGAGACACCAGCGCCCATTTGCCAGACCACATAACTTGGAAGAGAGTATGCAGCTCATGACAGAGGGAAATATGCTTTGAACTGGGCTCCCTGGGCTGGATAAGTTCCATATTTTTACTTTTTGATGCTCCTCCACTTAATCCAGAGGATAAACTAGGCCGCCTCACAGAAAATGATCCCTTTACTTTCTCTTGGTTCTCATTCACGTGTAACGTTGAGGCAGCTCGTGACAGGTGTTTAGATGAGGATCTGGTTTTACCATTAGTTGCTGTTGCCAGCAGTTCCTGAGTTTGGTTGAGATCAAGCTTTAAAAAGCATTCTCGAAAAATAAGTAAGTGACTTAATACCTGCAGGATAGAATTCATATAACATGTGTTTCCCAGGTTTCTCAGTCCTGTTACCCCAGGAGTCACCGTGGGCCTTCGTTTAATTGGAGAGTCACTTACTTTTTTCAATCTTACTTCATCTGAGGTATATGTTTTTTTCAACTCTGCCACAGATTCCATGTTCTGTGATATTTTTTGCAGGCAGGGTGCTGCTTCTGAGGATATTCTAATCTGATTTTGTAAACGACTGCTCTTTCTTGGAGGCATCTTTTCCATCTCTGCTTTCAACTCACGCTTTCGTTCTTGTCTTCTCTTCCTAGCTTTGTCCCTTCTTTCCTCTGCTTCTTCCCGACGCCTTTCTTCTTCCAAAATCTTTTTTCCAGTAGGTGTCAACTCAAGCCATGATCTGAATATTTTGCCCAGGAACGCACGCCGTCGGTGCCAGAGAGCTGTGAACATGCGATCTTCATTCCGAAGCAAGGCTTGGGCACCACCATGTGAAAGGTAAGAATCATCACTTGTACCCATAGAACGCAAAGTCCTCCCACTTCGAGTAGTGCACTCATAGTTTTGACTCTTGATTGCACTTAATGTACTTCGCAACAGTTTTAAATCACCAGTTGCATTATCATTAAGAACATAATCATCACAGAGATAACAGAAAACATACAGCTCATTTACTTCCAATGCTACTGGGTGACTGCTCTCCTGAAAGTGCTTTAGTGCATGTTCTTCAATGTATCTTCCACATGCCACGTGTGAGCAGCTGAGGCATGCCCACACAGATTCGGTAGTATTGCAGTCCATGCAATGCCATTTCTGAGGATTCAGAATGGAGTGATCTTGGGCCAGTCGCAGACGTCCTATGTGCTTACACTTATCCATTGTTAAAACTGAAATTGCAGAGATATGCTGGCAAAACACATCATCCAAACTATTTTCTGTCCATGATATTTCAATCTGCAATTAAAAAAAAAAGTTCTAAGTTACAGTTCATAAATACCCAACTGTATCACTTTTACAGGTGTCAGTATACCAAACTCATACTTGAGGTTACGATCATGATCTCTATCCAACTAAGTCCCACCAAACATACAAAGGCAGTCAGTCATGTGGAGCCACAATCAACATCAACAGCAGTTCGAGTTCAGACTAAATGGTCTGAATACCACTGTTTATATTCCCAGTACCTTCTGGCTCAAGACTGAAGCATAGTAGCTACACTTCAGATTGGGCCTTTTTTTTTTTTTCCAAAGGAGCACTGATTTGGTTAAAAGACACTGTTACAGAGTTTGGATACAAGCACAACTTAAAATGGGACAGGTTGCCCAGAGAAGCTGTGGATGCCACATAATTGGAAGTGTTCAATGTCAGGTTGGACAGGGCTTTAAGCAACCTGATCTAGTGGAAGATGTCCCTGCCCACGGCAGGGGGCTTGGACTAGATGATTTCTGAAGGTCCCTTCCAACCCAAAACATTCTGTGATTCTCTGATTCTAAAATGCTCCTATTAATTCTATCCCTAAGCATACAGGTGCAGAAGTGCAAAGTTCACTTAAATTTATTATGTTTACACAGTGCCAACAGTTCAGACAAATGAGGCTTTATACAACTCAAACCCTTAATTAAACCACACCTTTAATTAAATCACTGCACCTTTGTGCTCAGGCAAGCCCATTATACCACTGCTTTCTACAATAATGTATCTTCAGTAACTACATTTTAACATGTCATCCTAACACCTCTGAAAGAAAGAGTGACCTGGAAAAGCAGAACTTGCTTTCTTCATAAGACAGAAATACCATGAGATACCTACATCAGTTGCTGCAAACTTTATAAAAAACTGTATTTTGAACAGGTCTTGCTAATCCACGTCTTCAAAAAATCATTTAAAAATTTGGCTAGCACTGGCTTACATCCTTTAATAAGTTTATGTGGAAGCATATTTGTTCAAAGCTGCTGTATTTGCTTTCTCCTATAAGGTGCATTTACCTAAAACAAACAGGCAGGTTCTGACTAACAAAAATTAAAGAGACAGTGATTCATTCTTTCTTTATGCTTTTAGCATCTTTCTTTCCACTATCTCTAGCTGAGAGATACCATCTGGAGACAAACGATGCGTCAGGAAGTGATTGTATTTGATCTGGGGTGTTCGTGCCCACAATGTCACTGACTAGAAGGGCTAAATAGCACACAGCACCAGTATCATTATGCATGGTACTTGCCAGATGAAACAGTTAATTCACCTGAGGAGCACCAAGGGTTTGTCAAATATCCAGGCTATACCAAGCAAGTACAAGTTATGGCATTACAAATGCATGCACTGCGGACCTGGCCTAGGCTGTACAATATCAAGGTCCAGGATTCTATGTTTTACAGGTAAGTAAACCATGCTACAAAAATTTAGACAATTTAGACAACTCTGGATAGAATCCAAAATATTATATTCCAGCTATTATCAAGAATATGCTAGTATTTCTCCATTTTTACTGTTCTGAAACAGGTTACTCAGTTTAGAAAAGGTGTCTAGGTTAGAATAAGCATTAGACTGAGGAAACCCTAACATACAATGACATGACACCACTAAGGAAGAGAATCAGGTAAAAAGTTGCAGCTGGATAGGAAAGAAGTTTTAATTTTCATCTGGTTCTTAGATAAAAACTGTAGTTAAAAGATTTAACAAAAAAAGGCTTTCTTTGGTTAATTGGCCCACGGCTAGTGCCTTTTAAAATGTTACAATACAGATGCCAGCATAAGAGCTGTTACAACTCTCTATAAGAAGAGTTACTTATATAGTTACTTATAGCCGGCATTGCATGTGTTGTGTAGGTCTTATTCTGTAAAACAAAAAAGGCTGAGCCAGCTGTAGTGAAACTAATAAAGTGTACAGTAATGTTTTACATGCCCATATTAATAATTTTCAGGCAATTTAAGAGCTGTCTCCAGTCCATACTAACTGCACTGAAGAATTTCAGGCGCCATGACCTCTGGGTACCCATTCAGTAATTCCCAGATTAAGTACCAGCCATAGTGTATTACAGGAGGTCGAGATCCCTTGTGTGCTATGGTCAACAGATCACAAAAATAATGGCTTGCTGAACTTTTTCAGCTTGCTAGCATCCATAACATTCATCCCTTCTAAAAGGCAGTCTATTCATAGGCTGCTAATGAGATTCTTTTACAAATAGTTGCGCACACTAAGTTTGCTTTTTATACTGTCTTTATAAATAAAACCACTAGCACTATCCCATGTCTTGTCCTAGTCTGACAACGTGTTTTCCCCAACAAAGCTGAGCTTTTCTAACACTGATAAAATTCACATAAATTTCAGAGCTGGAATATGTATGTTAATTCTTCCTGGAATATTAAAGTAATACCTATGTAAAGTGTGCTGCAAGAATTTAATATGGTAGACAGGATTTTAAGAGACAAGACTCATCTTTGTGTTTCTGGGCTAACAGAAATAGATTCTCCTGCATAACATATTAGTAACGGTCCTTTCCAGCAGGCCAGAAAAGAACACTAAACCCTGCCTTCCCACAGGGCTGTCACATACAGCAACGCTGTCAGTCAGAGGAGTCCGATAGGTCGACCCTTTCTGGTTTTGTTAAAGTCACTGTGTAAACACTGTGTGTTACTTTTTCCTTCTTTTTAATATTACATGGTCAGAAAATTTGTTTTTCTCCATTTCAAAAATACTACGAAGAGTGAAACTACTTCCATGCCTCAATGTAAGCAGATATTGGACTGAGGACAAAAGTAGTCTGCTGATTTCAGGACAACCACTGTGTAAACCAGGGTTGCACAATCAAGCTCTTCATGCAAAAGCAACACGATTCCATGAAAGTGCAAGATCAGCGCCTCGAAGAGAAAAACCCAAAGCCCCAGCTCCCCCACCAGCAACCAAGCCAGCATGACATTTTCCCACCTACGTCGATGTGTGGAGAAAGGAGATGGGGTTGGAAGGGGGGAGGGGGAGGAAACATCTTGGCATGGGAGAAGTCTTTCTTTGAAGAAAACGTGAAGAAATCAAAATGCAGAGTTTGGTCAAAAAGACAGAAATACCTGAAAAGACTGCGAAAAAGCCAGAAGTACAAAACTGAGACCAAGACAACTCAGCTGAATGTCAAGCAGCACACTGACAACATTAATGTTTTAAGACATGGAGCACTGAAGTATTGAGACTACATCAAGTCACAAAATTTTAAAACTTTACCTCAGAACCAAGACTTGGCAAGATAGAATAGCTAAGGGAAAAACAGGACTGAAGTGACAGATAATGGTGCAAGAAACCTAAAAAATACTGCATACTCATTCCCATGCCTACCAAAAAGCTGCAGCTGGAATAAAATAGTACAAGTAAATGCTACAACGTTAAAATTCCCTAAAGAAAGTTTTTCAGCGCTAGTTTCTGCATTCTTCTCTCCCGAGGTTCAGTTCGGTGCACACACACAAAGAAACTGTGAATTAGTTGACCAGCACTTCAGAGATCAAGCCCCGCGGTGTTCTTAGCACAGACCTGAGCTGAAGTAGTAAGCAAAATAACCAGTACTAACATACAGAACAGCACTACTGAAAGCATTAAGTTGTCTGGGAAAACAGAGATATGCAAAAGCCTTTTCGTGCGCCAAAGTTTTACAAGCAAGAAATAAAGATATACGGAATAGGATTAATTTTTTTTTCATTGAACCATATTTCAACCTTATTGACGTGCTCATTTCTTTAGTTTCACTAAAGAATGGCTGGCAAAATGTACACTTTGGGGTAACTCATGAGCTGAAAAGTACTCGATGTCAAAACCCAACAACTTAGAAGCCAAGAAAATATGTTTTTCTTCCATTTGTGTTCCATGTAAACAAGAAATTAAGATCCATCTTCACAGCTGATAAATTTTAAAATCGTAACTCTAAATATAAACAAAAGGAAATCTTTTTCCCTTAGTCACTACTTTCGTAATTAATTGCTTGGCACGTAAATGAAAAAAATCAAACAGTCTATCTCAAGACTAGAAATGCAGTACATGGCTTTACTTATATGTTTATGTGTGCCATTAATATTCTGGCTTTTAAATCAGATGACAGTTTACCAACCGATCTTAATCAGGTTCAGAGTACCTGTTTAATATCTGAAAAAACAGGAATCGTGGGTACTTTAACGAGTGAAAGTTTTAGATAACAAGCATGCTAACTAGAAGGCAGATATACTGCTTTACTGCTTTCTTAAACAATTTTTCTTTTTTTTCTTTTAAGAAAACAACCCAACAAAAGATTGATGTGCATGACTTCAAGCTGCACTACAGTCCTGCAGGCATAACAGTGAGACTTAAAAAAGCAAAGCAGCACTTCAAAAAGAAATTTTGTAAATTATTTCCGATTTTTAGCAATATAGTCTTTGACAAGAAATCCCCCCCAGCCTCCCTTCTTTGGAGCCATACAGATCGTCATTGGACTTTTTCTTTTTCCTCTTTTTTTCGCCAGCTAAGGAATGGATATATCGTATGCTGCCTAGAAGTAGCCATGTACACCAGGAGACCAGACACCGGTACAGCATTACAGTCAATGTCTCTTACTGCAAATAACCGCGCATTTCCTGCAGTTGAGAGTTCAAGGTAAACAAATAGTTCAGACTGAAGCACTTTCACAGAAGCATGAAAAACACAGCATTTCTTATTAGTCTGGATTTACACTTGACAGTTCTTCCCATTCAGAAAGATAAGCATCTCTGATGCTCTGACAGCCCCTCGGACAACGCCTGGCTCCTGTTCTGACAACAACTGCAGGTAAAGACACACCAGATAAGTTCACCCACGGCCCGATGCCGGAGTACCAGCGTGCCCACGACTGTTACGGTAGGAAGGTCCAGCGCTTCCCAGCGCCCCGCGACATGGCGCGACCCTTCGCCCCCCGCCGACA